CAGTCGCAGAAGCTGTGGCGACTGCTGCTGCAGAGACGGCTGCGGTTGCTGCCTCAGGGACGGCGGCTGCCGGCCGCTAGGGGCCGCGAAGAGCGGCGGAGAGGCCGCGAAGGGCGCCACGAGGGGCCGTCGAGGGCGGCGACAGGCCGTGAGGAGGCCGCGGAAGGCGGCTCGAGGGGCCGCGAGGGGGGGGGGCCGTAAGGGGCCGACTGGCGACGGGAGGGGCCGAAGGGGGGCCGCGGGGGGGGGGCTCGGAAGGGTAGCGCGAGGGGCCGTAAGGGCGGCGCAAGGGCCGTGAGGGCGGCGCGACGGGCGCGACGGGCCGTAAGGGCGGCACGAGGGGCCGTGAGGGCGGCGCGACGGGCCGTAGGGGCGGCGCGACGGGCCGTAAGGGCGGCGCGACGAGCCGTAAGGGCGGCGCTAGGGAGCCGGGAGAGGGTCGCTAAGGGCGACGCGACGGGGCCGTGAGGGGCCTAGCGAGGGCGCGACGGTAGGGAGAGCACACAGGGCGCGACTCGGGCCGGAGCGAAGCGCGCTCCGGGCAGGAAAAAAATTTCGTGGTGGTGGGCCCTAGGAATCGTTCCCACTAGGGAACCTGCTCGATACCATGAGAAGAAACGAGGAATGAAATGACTAAGTGAAAGTTGGGTACAAAAAGCAAACCCTAGAAAACTGTACCCCATATGTGCTACCCCACTATAGCCTACAGTAGCTATGTCATATCAATCTGACATCACAGTACCGATTCATGCTATCGATCGGACTCGGGCGAATAAGGAGGGTACAGCGACGGATTGCCCAGTACTGATCCACGGGAAAATACAGGGAGCAGCAGTGAAGATTTTTATCGACGGAGGATCAAGCCACAGTTTAGTTAATACCGCAACCGCACGAAAACTGCAACTGACACTTAGCCGTTGTTTACCTGAGATAGACGCACGCTTAGTCGGCGGCACGCCACTAGCCATACGGGAAAAAGTGGAGAGAGTCAAAGTCCGCTGCAAGGGGAATTTCGGATTTACACAGGAAATGCTCACAACGACACTAGATGGGCACGACATTTTACTGGGACGCGATTGGCTGCGACGGTATAACCCGCGAATTGACTGGACAACGGGTAGCTGCACTGTGCGAAGTAGCGGTAACTGGGTCGAGCTACCTCGCTGGCAGTCGCCCGAGTCTTCAACGATACACGTCAATGCCGTCACCATGAAACGGGCTGTCGCTGCTGGAGCTGACGTGTACGCAGTAGACATTGCAGTAGTAGAGGGAGTAGAGCAGCCGAGTGATTTCAAGAAACTGCTGGCAGCGGTACCGCCCGAACTACAGGAACTGTTGAAACGATACCCCGGGATTTTTCCCGACGACTTACCGGAAGGACTGCCACCTCAGCGAGCACATGACCACCGAATAGAATTAGAACCGGGGGCACAGCCAACTGTACAGCGCCAGTTCAGACTGACACAGCCCGAGCTCGACGAACTAAGGAAGCAGTTAGATTACCTGTTAGAGAAGAAATTCATTCGACCAAGCTCGTCACCGTTCGCCACACCGATACTGATCACGCCAAAAAAAGACGGAGGGTTTCGCATGTGCATCGATTACCGAGTGCTCAACAGGGTAACAGTCAAGTCGCGGTACCCCATTCCCCGCGCCGACGAACTGATCGACCAACTGCGGACAGCACGGGTTTTTTTTCGAAAATAGATTTACAGGGAGGTTACCATCAGATTAGGGTCGAACCATCGGACTGCGCCAAAACAGCTTTCCGGACTAGGTACGGGTCATTCGAGTACACCGTGATGCCTTTCGGGCCGACAAACGCACTAGCGACATTTCAGATGGCCATGAACGAGGCGTTTAGGCCGCTTTTAGATAAATGCGTGATAGTTTACCTCGATGACATCCTCGTCTACAGTCGCGACAAGCAGCAGCACTTAGCACATCTGGAAGCAGTATTTAAGATTTTAGACGAGCATCGGCTACTGACAAAGGGTTCCAAGTGCGAGTTTTTTCAGGACAGGCTAGAGTTTTTGGGGCACGTTATTTCGGAGGCTGGGGTCGAAATTGACCCAAAGAAGTTAGACATGGTAAAAGCCTGGCACCCCCCGACGAATATCACGGAACTACAGAGTTTTTTGGGTTTCGTAAACTACGTGTGTCGGTTCGTCCCCGACATGGCACAGTTAACTGCGCCGCTGACAGATTTGTTACGGAAGGGGGTCACTTTTACATGGGGGGAGAAAGAGCATGCTGCCTTCTCTGCCCTGAAAAATGTTCTCTGTTCACCGCCCGTCCTGCGCATCGCCGACCCACACCGCCCATTCGAAGTAGTTACTAACGCAAGCGACATCGCCATCGGAGCCGTACTGCTACATGACTTCAGCAACGGCCTACAGCCCATCGCATACGAGTCACGAAAACTGCATCCGCCCGAGAAAAATTACCCGATACACGACCGCGAAATGCTTGCGATCGTGCACGCATTCAAAGTGTGGCACTGTTACTTGACCGGCGTAGACGTGACAGTACGGACAGACCATAAATCACTACAGTACCTTCGCGCACAGCCACACCTCAACCCACGACAGATCCGCTGGCTCGATTTTTTCGAGTCCAATTTTCACTACACGGTCACCTACAAAAAAGGAGCCTCGAACATCGCCGACGCACTCACCCGCCCCACTGCCCAGATCCACGCAATACTACTCGCCCAGACCAGTCCCCTACTGACAGGCCTATTTACCCACGGGTACCAAACGGATCCATTCTTCACAGGAGGAAATTCGCAGCAGTTTGCAGCAACAAGGGGAGTCTATTACGTAAAAGCCGGGACCGACCGCATCTGGGTGCCTGGGTATACACTGCTACAGGAATTACTGTTACAGGAGGCACACCACAGAGTTATCTCGGGGCATTTCGGGGTAGAAAAGACACGGCAGCAGCTGCAGCGGTATTATTACTGGCCCGAAATGTTGACCGACGTACAGCGACACGTGGCATCGTGTCCCACTTGCCAGCTCATGAAGTCATCACGGCAGCGACCGGCAGGACAGTTGCAGCCGATTCCACCCCCAGAGCGTGCTTGGCAGCAGGTGACGATGGACTTCGTCACGGGGTTACCGGCCGGGGCGAATGGGAATGACGCGATCCTGGTCGTCGTCGATCGACTGACGAAAATGGCACATTTCGCAGCCTGCAAAAAATCAATCACAGCCGAAGAAACAGCACGCCTCTTCATCTCCACCGTTGTTCGACTGCACGGGATACCAGCAGCAATAATCAGCGACCGCGACACGAAATTCACCAGCAACTTCTGGCGGAACCTATGGCAGCAGTTTGGCACGCGACTACAGTTCAGCTCTTCGTACCACCCCGAAACCGACGGACATACAGAACGGACAAATCAGACCATGGAACAACTCATCCGAGCCACGTGCGACGACCCGACCACCTGGGAACAGCAACTGCCACTCATCGAGTTCGCGTACAACAATTCACCTTCCGCCACGACCCAACAGTCACCGTTTTACCTGAACTACGGACAAGACCCGACAGTACCCATGACCCCGAATCCCGACAACCCAGTGCCACGGGCACAACAGTTCGCCGAAATATTACAAGCAGCACGGACCCGGGCAGCAGACGCAATAAAAAATCGAACATCATCGCTAAACGCAACGCCGACCGCCACCGCAGACCTGTCACTTACCAGCCCGACGACCTAGTTTTACTTGACACCCAGAACCTCCGCCCGCCCATCACCCCAAAACTCCGCCCCCGATATTGTAGACCATTTCGCATCAGCCACATGATCACACCCGTCACCGCCCACCTCCTCCTCCCCGCTGACTGGTACGTCAGCCCCTCATTACACGTCAGCCTGCTTCGCCCCTACGTCACGTCCACAAGCCAACTCCCACTAATCGCCCAGCCAGCATGACACGACCACCGACTGAACCAAACATCACGCCCGAGAAGATTCTGAGTCACAGAGTTCGCGACCCTCGTGGGGCCCGAATGATCGAGTTCCTGATCCGCTGGAAAGACCGTACACCCACCGAAGTCAACTGGGTTCCCCTGGACAGAATCGAAAACCACCCCGTCCTCACCGAGTATCTGCGCAGCCGAAACTTCAGGGATGTACATGCACTTTCGTAAGGAGGACCTCCTTAGGGGGGGGGGTAGTGTAAGGAAAATTCCTTTTCCTTACTTCGCGTCCCCGCTCAACGTGTACACCACTGTAGCACCACAGTCAGCACCGTTACCACTCGCAACTCTCGCATCGACAATCCTCCCGCCACCTTCGCACGTTGCACCCCGACCTCACGGCTCGGCGGGTAACCCGCGCTCCGGGCCTCCGCTTCGACACTTTTCCCAACGTCAGTCCCAGGCCCGTCACGCGACAACCACAGTCCATTACCGTTACCACTGTAGTTTCGCTATATATTCTTCGCTCATGCCTTCGCTCATTGTACTTTTGCTTCGATAGTGCAATTCTCGCTCGCTCACTCAATTGCACTCGTAACAATACCTTTGTTACAATTTGGACACGTAGCTTACTTCGCGTGCGATCAAGCTCAATGAGTGTTACCGCGGAGTTAATTACCCTTTCCCTTTCTAGAGCTGTGATACAAACATCGGCTTTCCAAACCCCAACTGCTGTTCGCTCTGTAATCATGAGACAACGTTTTCCGTCGGAAAACACAATCCCGTACAATTGGAACTCCGTCCGAAACCACACCTTCGATTTGTCGAATCTCGCCCGAAACAGACGCTGTTCAGTCTGAACTGAAATTGGTTGGGATTCCCGAAACCAAAAGCAGGCACACATGTCGAGCACAATACAGGTACTACTCCACAGCTCAAGCCCGTTGGCCGGCAGCTTCACTGTGAAGGTCAAGCACTTCTGAACAATAAACCGAAGAAATGGCCGTCCTACACGGATGCTCCAGGTACCTCTTCCTCCTCTACCAATGAATTCCATGGTCCTCCTACTTATGCCCCGCCCACGCCACACTTTCCGTCGCTGCCTCATTCGCCGCTCTCTTCGCGGAGCTCATCGATTCAGTCTTGGAGTGCTCGTGGCGGCAGCATGCCTCGCTGTAAGCATCTATGCCGGCCCCGTCTCTGAGAAAAGTCATCCCTCTCCAAATCCTCCCTCTCTATTCACGTAGTACTCTAGTAATAGTACCCCGCCGTTGCAGATTATTCTCAGCGCCACGCGCGTTCCCTTCCCTTTCACTCAGCACCCCCCGCCGGCATGTCCCTTCCATCGTGCAGGCGTGCAGCGCGCAGCAGCAAAGCGGGGCGGCGCACCCGGGGTCGATGCTGGCGGGGTTCGAGTACCCGGATCACGTTTGCGGGGCGCCGTGGCGCGACGAGTACGTGCGGCTGCACGCGCGCATCAGAGCCGCCAGCCGAGACGCGTGGAGCGCGCGACAGCCGCCAGGTACTAGTAGTAGCGTCGGACGGTGGGCGGAGCGCGTGATGATGCGGTTTTATGTGGGTGTAAATTGCGCTAGAAATGGCCGTTCCGACGCACGCCGCGTGGTTGCACGGACAGGGGAGGCCGAGTGAAAGCGCGTTCGGGTGCGAGTGTACAAACGCACTGTCCCGCCCCCTGCTCCCGATCCTCCTCCGCAGCTGCCCCGCCACCGCCCGCCACGCCGCCGCCGCCACAGCCCGCTGCGCCGGCGCGTAGGCGCCTGGGGGACGACTCTCCTCCCGGTGAGCCCACGCCCGCGGTGCGGTTCCTGACGTACGACTGGTACGGCACGTGCGGCGGGCTGGGCGACTACCTGATCGGGCTGGTGTCCATCTTCCCCGCCGCGCTGCTGGACCGCCGCGCGCTGCTCATCGCACAGCCCTGCATGCACGCCGCCTTCCACTCGCCGCACATTGACACCGCGCTCTCCCCCGACGTGCCCATGGGGGGCCAGCCGCTGCTGCGCGCCGCGCCCTTGGACGCTCAAGAAGGCGACGCGCGCGTGGAGTGGCACGCGCCGCCGTGCGAGCGGCTGGAGGGCAACATGAGCGCGGCGGCGACAGACAGCAGTGGCGTGCCGTGCTTGGACATGCTGCGGCACAGCTTCGGCATCGACGCGCTGCAGCAGCTGAGCGCGCTCACCAACTACCGCATGCGCTACAACAAGGGGCTGCTCATCTTCACGCTCATGCTCGACCAGGGCCCGTGGGCGGCCGCCCTGCGGCAGCTGGGCTTCAAGGTGGCGTACGGCTTCGGGTGCATCCTCAGATTCCTCTTCAGGTCCGCCTCTCGTGCCCTGTTCGCACGTGCGTACACATACACACCCCTGCACGCTGCTGTGCCCTCCGCCCCACGCCAAAATCGCTTATGCACGCTGGCATTGCAAGTTGTCCGTCACCATCTGGTTTCCACTTCCCTTATCTCTTTTCATCCCCTCCTTCCCCACCCCCCCCACACTGTTCTCCCTCTGTTGTCTCCTACGCTTGGCCAAGTCCGCGGCCTGAGGTGTGGCAACTGCTGGTGGGGATAGAGGAGCAGGTGTGGGGCAAGGGCGTGGTGCGCGTGGCCGTGCACCTGCGCGTGCCGGACCGCGAGGTGTGGGAGGGTGAGGGCACGCCGCTCAACATGACGCAGCAGCAGCTGGACCACCTGCTCGCCACGGCCAACAGCACACTGCAGTGCGCTCAGGTGCTGCCCGGGGTCAGCACGTACCAGTCACTGCACACATGTGCTTTGAATGTGCTTTGGCATGGCATGGGGATGGGGTGTTGTGTTGCCCAGGCAAGGTATTGATCCTGTGTGTGGGTACGTGTGTGGGGGTGAGTTTTAAAGCACATGCAGCCTGACCTCCTACTCTGGGTGTGTGTGCCACTGAGGGTTTCACTGTGTTCGCCTCAACTTTCTCTCCGCCCATGCGCATGGGCAATGGCAGGCAGTAGAGGATTATTGGTACCCGCCTCCCCTCAAGGTCAAGTGGATTTTCATCACCAACTCGCACCCACTCAAGCAAGCACTCAAAGCCAAGTACCCAGATAAGGTGTGCACCCGCCCACGCTCATGCTCCATCCCCTTCCGGACCACCGGATCCCTCCATCTGCCTCGCCGTTTCTCCTTCCATCCATTCCATGCCCTTCACTCTCCACCTGTTCTTCTTTCCATTCACCCCACTCTCATTCCTCACTCCCTCTTGCCCTACCACACACCCCCATTCCCTGCATGTGCTGCACTTCCCCCCTGTGCGTGTGCTGCACTGCGTGCGTGCATGTGTGGCACATGCCGCCACGGGGAACATGTGCGTGTGCTGCACTGCGTGCGTGCATGTGTGGCACATGCCGCCATGGGGAACATGTGCGTGTGCGGCGCGGACGAGGGCAGGTGGTGACAACGGAGTTTGTGCCGTGGCACTCGGACCACTCGATAGACCTCGCCACGTCCAAGGAGCGTGACGCGGCGCTGAGAGGGCTGCAGCACTTCCGCGAGACGGTGGCGGAGTGGGCGCTGATAGCGGCGTGCCACTCCTTCATCATCCCCGCCTCCGGCTTCTCTCGCACCGCCGCGCTCTACGGCCTGCGCCCCCTCGACATCTTCATGCCCGCGCCCGACACCTGCGACCCCGAGCAGCCCACTGCTGTTGCTGGCTTCCGCGGCTCCTGGAGTGGCATCTAGGCACTGCCCTGTACCCACCATGGGCGCTGAACTCGTTGCGCGTGGAACGGCATGTAGCGGTGGTGGAGGTCATGTGGACCTGTGCACGGGGATGAGCAAGCAGCAGCGTGTGGGTGACAGACACATGGTGTGGGACAAGCAGCAGGCAGCCAGCAAGGGCAGTGCGCCTGGCACGTTGCTCATGATGCAGCATAGCTTGATTGAACGGCAACCCGCCTGTATGTCATGCTTTGCCAGGATCAAGGGCCTCAGAAATGAAAAGACAAGTAGAACAAAGGAAAGGAGTGAATTGTTATTGCTAACTTGGGGCAGATGACATGCTTCCTGTGCAGCCTATTGAGCCCGGTCTCCCACTCTCAACGGGCGCTCGTGCCTTGGTCAGCAGGCCTCAGCCATATTTGTTCGTGATAGGCAGCAGCACCCTCTGTGTGTGGCAATCGTGGCATCCCTGCCACCACCAGCACAGCACTCACCTCCTGCCTCTCCCTCCTCTCCCTGCTTGCCTGCGCTGCTCTACACCACACTCACGATAGTGTCCGTGCACAAACACAGGACACATGTGCATGGCAGGATAAAAAAGTGCACACATGAGAAAATGGTTGTGGGGGGGCTGGCATCACTCGCATTACAAATGCGCTTCCATTGGCGGGAGGATGGGAGAAATACAGATAAACCATGGTTCGTAACTGATAGGCGCAAATGTTGAGAAGGTGTGAGCCGGACTCCAGGCACACACCACTGCAGCGCACCTGCTTGTGCACACAGCCACACATGCAGGGGAGCAGAGGGGGAGCGCGCATGAGCAGAGAGGGATGGGCACAGGGAGTGCAGGTGAAGCAGGGGGGTGGCAGTGATGGCACAGAGAGCAGCGGTGTGAGGTGCAGGGTGGAGCAGGAGCGGGCATGAAGGCAGCACTCACCTGGCAGGCAGCACGAGGCAGAACGTGGCAGTGCATGCCTTGCACGTCCCTGGCCTTCTCCCCCTCGTGCTGCTGGTCACTGTGCAGTGCACGCCGCCCCTTTGGTGACGCCACAGTCCATGCTGCCCACCAGCACCGCCGCCACCCGCACACCCTGCACAGCACAACCACACACCACAGGGGGGTGGACGGGGGGAGAGAGAGGACATGTAAGAGGTGACAGTGTTGCAGTGGCATGAGATAGAGCGGGGAGGCACACACAAGTGCAAGGGACACGAGCATGGGAAGAAGTGCACCCATGGTCCCCCAATCGCCTGCCCAGCTTGTGCCTGTGTGCCCATTGCCAGTGGGGCCCCAACACACAAGCGGAGGCACAGGGTGCAGAGAGTTCATGAAGAGAAATTGTGATTCAAGTACCAGTCGCAGCGTCGCTTTCCCGTGACCCTCATGGTCTCCCTTCTTCCCTCTGCCGTGTATTCCCCCCTCCCTTCTCCTCCCTTGTACGTCAACTGCCCCCTGCGTGCATCACCTGCGGTGGACAGTGGAAGGATGCGAGGGTGGGGCGGTGGGAGTGGGCAGTGTGGTGCGGCACAGGCAACGCCACGTGCACCAGCACCCTCACCCACACTCACCGCCTGTCGCCCCGCACATATGCCGCCATAGCACCATGGCATGTGCATGGGCATGGGCATGGGGATGGGGATGGACATGCGGCATGGATCATGGGGGAGCGGAGGGCAGGGGGGGCGAGGGGCAGAGAGTAAGAGGAGCGGGTGGTGGAACCCATGGGGTCTTTGAGTCAAGTCAAGCACAGTGTGCTGACATACTGTGATCGTGCACTCACACACAACACCAGCACCTGCTGCTGTTCCTGGTGTCGCTAGCTTATCCCATGCCGCTCATGTCACCCCATGTCTGTTAAGTGTTAGCCCTCAATCTCACGCTTTGTATTTTGTACTTTCTATATCCTAGCGTAGTGTAGTTTGCACATTGTGTTTGGTTGGGTGTACACCCACATCACAACCAAAGTCAAATGTGACCTCCAAGCAATCGCCAACCCACCAATTGGAGATTGCCTTGGGATTACCCCCAATCCCTAGACATTGTCCCCGATTCCCCTCCCCATCCATTCCTTGCTCATCCTGGATGTATTTTAGGAGCTTCGAGCTCATAACTAATGTACGGATTCCAAGCTCAAGTTCTGACAATGTCTCCTCCTTTCCCGCCTCTCCTGCCCTCACTTCCCTCCCATCTCTCCTTTCCCATGCACTCCCCTGTGCGCACGTCACCTGGCGGCTGCTGTGGCGCAGGTGGGCGGTGCCGAGTTGGCGCTGGGGGGGGGGGGGGAGCGCGTGCATGGCGGGCAGCAGCATTGGCAAGGGTGCGCGCGCTGGGGTGGAGGTGGTGCATCGCAGACGCCACGGGCGAGAGCAGAGACGCGAGCAGCGCAGGGGGCGTGCGCAGCAAGAGGTGGCCCAGAGGGACGTGGGCCCATGTGCTGTGTGGTGCGCTGCACAGGTGCGAGGGGGGGTCAATGGCGCAGGGGGGTGAAGGGAGCGGGGAGGGGCCCGGGCGCGGAAGGAAGAGGGGGAGGAAGGGCAGGGGAAAAGGAAGGGATAAAGCGGAAAGGAGAGCGGGGGTGAGGGGGAGTGCGCAGGAGGGAGAGGGCGCAGGAGTTGGAGGGCATGGGGCGGGGTGAGCGCACATGCAAGGGATGCAAGGGCATGGCGCGACGGCCCCCAGCAGGGGCAGGCGCATGGAATGGGGCGATGGGGAGAAGACGAGGATGAAAATGGGAAGGCGTATGGCTGGTGGGAAAGGGGTGGGGAGGTTCACATTGTAAGGGCGGGGAGGTAGAGAGCCATGGGAAAGCAAAGAACAGCGCAGAAGAGGCCAGAATGGAGGAGGAAATGGGAGGGGAAACGGTGGAGAGAGTTGGCATGAGTGAGCGAGGCGAGGGAGAATGGTGGAAGGGGCTGGGAAGGGCGGCGTGCAGGAGTGGTGCAGCAGCGAGCATGGAGGGCCATGACATGAGCGCAGCAGCGTGCTGCATCCCGTCCCACCCTCAGGCACACGCATGTCCCACAGTCCCATTCACCCTCATGTACCCCTCTCACACCCCCCTCACACCCCCCTCACACCCCCCCACTCACGGGCCCCGTCCAAAGAGCCCCCAACGAACCTGCAGGGGAGGTGCAGCGAGGCGCCCTGCACGGCGCGGCACTGCAGCGGAGCAGGCGCAAGAGCGGTGGCGCCTGCGAGGGGTGCTCCAGCAGTCGCCCTGCTGGCACACGGCACGCATGGCATGCGCAGGGAGCAGCGCGCACCGTGCAGAGGAGGGCGCGCCGCACACTCATAGTGCAGGCGATGGGAAGCTGAGGGGAGGCGAGAGGAGGGGAGGGGAGGGGAGGGGAGGGGAAGGGAGGGGAGGGGAGGGGAGGGGAGGGGAGGGGAAGGGAGGGGAGGGGAGGGGTGGGGAGGGGAGGGGAGGGGAGGGGAGGAGAGGGGAGGGGAGGGGAGGGGAGGGGGCAGCATGAGGAGTGCGAGGCGGAGGCGCACGCCCCGTGCACATGCGGCTGTGCGTCGCATGCTGCCACCGGCACCGTCATCATCCCCCCCTCCTCCCCATCTCCGCCCCCCCTTTCTGCCTCGCGCAGGTCGCCCCCCAGCGTGTCCCCTGTCCCCCTTTGCGCCGGCGCAGCAGCAGAGGGGGCTTGGGGGCGGGCGGGGGGGAGACGTTGGTGGCGGTGACGGGCTGCACGCGGGCAGCAGGCGCGCCCGCCATGACTGCTGCGCGCACGGCGGAAGGGATGCAGCGAGGGAGGAAGGGGAGAGGTAGTGAGGGAAGCGCGTGTAGTAAGAGGAGGGGGTGGGGGGGAGAGTTGAGCAGGGGAGTGCAGTACGGGGACCCCCCCGGCCCGCTAACGGGTGGGCAAACGGCCATGGCGGCGTGGCGGCGTTGGGGGAGCTGCCACGCACGCTACGCGTGGGAGCGAGGCGATGCGCGGCGAGGAGGGAGGGCGGGACATGGAAGTCTTATCCCAGTGCAGGGGGCGGGAGAGGGAGCTGCATCAAATGCACGCACTCACATCGCATTTCTTCTCAACGGTGAAGGGAACAAGCGCAACAGCGGAGCGCACGGGTACAGACCGTTGGCCCAGCCAGTGGTGGCGCATTGAGCAGCCCCAAGCTCACGTGTCCACCACCCGCACCGCCGCCACGCGCCGTGCCTTCCTCGCCGTCTCGCCGGGCTCAGTCAGCGCGCTTCGGAAATGGGGCGCGACTGTCAGCCGAACCGCAACGTTCGCAGCAAGCAGCACAGGCAGCGCCGCGACGCTCAGTATGGTGGAGAAACGCGGCATGGCGTCGCGCCACGGAGGAGGCGGCTGCGGGCGATCCGCGCGACGATTAATGCGATGAATTTGGGTCGGTGCGCGACACAATGAGGGTCTCACGCGAAGCATGGCGGAGTGGATGTGAGGGAGAGCGGGTGATCGCTTTGCACACATGAGCGCGAGGCGAGCAGCGGGAGCCTTGACGTGCGGTCCGTCATCCTCGTGGCGGCGCGTGGCCGCACTCTGCGTGCTGCGTCGTCTGTCCGTGTCGTCCGCGAACATGTTCCGTGTAGAAGTGAGCAGTCATGAAAGTGGTGCTAGCCAAGGTTGGGTAGGTACGCATCGGTACCACAATGTTCGGGCGTGATGGAAATCGTACCGAGTTTGTACTTGCAAAACCTTGGTGATAGGCGTTACACCTTGTAAGCTACTGCTATTCTACACTGACAGGGCCATGCATGATGCATGCAAGCGACATGTTGGTAGCGAGGCTACATTGCTATAGTCGTACACAGGTAGGCGTCTTTTGAGGTGAACCCACCCGTGGCAGCATCATCTGTTCCCCCCCGCACTGCACAGGTAAGCCCCCCAGCTGTGATGCGTTGTTGTTTTCCATGGCATGCGGCAGCAATGGGTAGTGCAGGCGTGGATGGTGATGAAGTCACCTCCACCTCACCACAAGCCGTGCCTCCACGCCACCCCTCTCCACGCTGCTCTGCGCTGCAGCAGTGTCACAGCAGGGTCACGGTTTGAAGGCTGGTGAGCACGGGAGTGGCAAGCATGGTGGCGCACGGCCACTAGCACTGCGAGGCAGCATGGAGGGCGCGCTGTGCCACTGCCATGCCTCGCTGCAGCAACCTCTTGTACCCCACGCGCCACATCACCGCCAGCACCGCCTTCTGCTGCTCCTCCTCCGCTGCTGTCCTCACCCCCTCCCCATGCGCATCACAGCCGCCTTCTTTATCCTCTGTCCCCACCCCCTCAGTGCCAGAACCAGCACCACGTGCACACCCCTTCCCTCCCACTCCTGCGCCCTCCATCGTCCTTTGCGCGCCCTCCCCCTTGCTCCCCCCTCCTGCCCTGAGGCATGAGAGCAGCGCCTCGTCCTGCTGCACCGTGCTGGGCAGCGCCGCCAGCAGCCGCTCACACTCGCCACCCACCCACCGCTGCACCGCCACCTCACCCTCCTCCGACACCGCCGAACCAGACAGCGCCACGTGGCGCACCCGCCTGCGCAGGCGGTAGGGCGTGGTCCACACGCGCAGCAGCGCCAGCAGCAGGAAGGACGGCGTGCCGTCCGCTTGCAGGCACAGGGGGGGCGGAGTGGTGTGAGCGGCGGAGGAGCAGGGGGGAGGAGGAGGAGGGAGGGGGATGCCGAGTTGGTGGGGGTCGCAGGGGGGGTGCATGGGGATGCAGTCGTGCGGGTTGGCGGGCAGCAGGAAGCCATAGTGCAGCAGCAGGTGCAGGTTGCTGTAGCAGCCGTAGCAGATCACCACCTGCCGGGGAGGGGGTGGGGAAGGCAGGGGAGAGGAAGGCAGAGGGAAAGGAGGGGCGGTGTTGGGCTGGAGAGAGATACGTGTGAAGCACCACACGGAAGGCAAGGGGAGAGGAATGCTTGTGGTAAACGGCAGCAGAACAGGGTGCGTATTGCATGATGCACTGCAACAGTGGCATGGCGATTAGCATGGCACAACAGCGGCACGTGCAGTGCCGTGGCACCCTCTCACCTGCTCGCCCGCCTCGAATCGCCTGCGTGCGAATATGTGGTACGCCTGGGCCTCCTCGCTGTACCCACCATCTGTCACGCGATCACAGGCGTCTGCCGCACGATCACAGGCGTGTGTCACGCCATTGTATGCTTGGGTCACAAGATCACAGGAGTCTGTGCCTGCATCCGAGGCAAGTGCTGCAGCATGGGGAGTGGCGTGCATGGCGGCATGATGGGTGGCAGTGATGCGAGCACAGGTGGGCGGTGCAGTGGTGGCGTGCTTGCCACTCAACGCCACACGGTGCATGTCGGGGGTGCAGTCACTGAGTGCTGCTGCATCCCGCATGCACTCTGGGTCACATGCTCCAGCTGATACTGCTTCACCTACTGTGCTGGCATCTATGTGTGCTGTGCTGTCATCTGTGTGTGCTGTGCTGTCATCTGTGTGTGCTGTGCTGGCATCTGTGTGTGCTGTGCTGGCATCTGTGTGTGCTGTGCTGGAATCTGTGTGTGCTGTGCTGTCATCTGTGTGTGCTGTGCTGCCATCCACGTCCCCAGGCATGTGAGAGCAACAAGGTTGAGCGGGCAATGGTGACGGGGAAGGGGGCAGCGCGGGTGGTGCGGGGGGAGAAGCAGCAGCAGCAGCAGCACCAGCAGGAGCAGTGGGGGAGAGCGGTTCGTAGTTGAGGAGGTCCGCCACCGGGCACAGCGCGCCCGCCTCGTCCCACGGCACGTACAGCGTGCGCGATGACACCTGCACGTGGGGGGGGGCACGGCGCATGGCACGGGGAGAGAAGGGAGGAGCAGAGGCAGACGGAGGGCGAGAGGAGGTGGTGCCGTGAACAGCCGCACACAAGCACCTGGGCAGTTGGGCGAGTGGTGTGAGTGGCATACAAGCATGGTATGGCATGTGCATTACAGCAGCACAGCGCACGCTGTGCACAAGCTGACACAGCACAAGGCCATAACAAGCTGACGACTGCATGTGCATCACACCGCACACACCGCCATGCCATGGCCTCTGATCACGCCCCATGCCCCACCCACCCACCGTGCAGTGCCCCCACGACCATGCGGGCCACGACAGCCACTTGCCCGGCACGGCCATGGCTCGCAGCAGCGCCCTCGCCTCCCGCCACTCGCCCCTCACCGCCGCCACTGCTGCCTGCGCCTCCGCCACCGCCTCTGCCACCTGGGAGTGGGCGGCACAGGGAAAGGAGGGGGGTGAAGGAGAGGAGGTGGGAAGGAAGGGGGTGGGAAGGAGAGGGGGTGGGAAGGAAGGGGGTGGGAAGGAAAGGGGGTGGCAAGGAGAGGGGGTGAGAGCCGGGAGGAAGGAGATGCAGAAGAGGAGAGGGAGAGAAGGGCGGGAGGAAGTGAAGGGTGCGGTCCAAGGAGTGAAGTTGTGACGGGGTCAAAGGGGAAGACGCTGGACTGCCGGATGGCATGCGTGGTGTGTGTGCGTGGATAAGATTGCGCGAACATGGGCGTGTGTGCGGTGCATGTGGAGGTGGGCACGTGAGCGAGGGCGTGGCAAGGCGGCCCATGGTTCAGGGTTTGAGGCTTAGGGTGCGACGAGGTGATGCCCACCTGCAGCATGGCCATGTGGTGTGGGGTGAAGCGCGAGAGCAGTGAGTAGCAGCGCGGCAGGCAGCGCAGGTATGCATGCCAGGGCGAGCGCGCTCCCTGTGACGCCTGCAGCAGCACGTAGCACACGAGCAGCTGCGCACACAGGGGAACAGGGGGGGCACGTGCATCAACACGTGATGCGAGTGAAGGGACAGGTGGAGAGGCAGGAGGAGAATTCTCTGGGATACAGGTACCTGGTGGGACGACAGGTGTGCGAATGCAGGCAGCAACGGCGCCATGGCAGGGCATGCCCTGACGTCGGCGCATGAGAGCATGGCGTGCCGTGGCACGTGCAGCACCACCTCCCCCGGTTCTATCGCGCGCACTGCTGCCAGCCCGCGCCTGCCACCACGGGGCGCGCGGAATGGGGGGGCAAAGGGGGTGGGGGGAGTGGAGGGACGGGGAGGGGACAAGGGGTGGAGGCGGGGTGGTAAAAGCGGACGAGTTAAGGTAGGCGGAAGGAGATGGCAAGACGCAGGGCGCCGTGCGGCGGAACACGCCACTCAAGGCCGCGTCAACCCTCGCTACGGAGTGCGCCCACACCCAGTCCACCGCTCCCTCACCCGCTCACCACTACCGCCCGCCCAGCACCCGATCTCCGCGCATCGGCGCGCTGCAAGGCGGGGCAACGGCGACAGACAGCGCGCGTACCCTCCGCCGTCGCTGAAGTGCGCCACGCGCAGGGTGGCCCCCAAACATACGCGCGCTTCGTTACCCTCTCCGCACTCGCCGGCATCGGCGGAAGAATTCTCCCCCTCGCTCCCGCCAGTGTAGCTGTCGGTGATGCCGCGCGTTGCCGCCCAACAGAGCATTGCTTGGAGGTCAGTGGAGAGCGCGGACGGGTCTGCGGTGCGGGGGAGCGAGGGGAGTGCAGCAGGCGACATGATGCGAGGCGACGGTGCGGCTCGAAGGTGTCAACCTCTACGATTTCCACCGCTACAGCTCCATGTGGCTCAAACGAACTCTCAACGGTTTTAAAACCCGCGTCTCATATTTTCTAGTGTATTACCGGAGTCTCACAGGTTTCGAAGTTGGACGAGGTTAAAGTCGAGAATCGATCGCCTCAGGTTCGTTTTTTAGCGCGGTTATAAACGGTTGTGTACATTTCGTATGCAAAACGCGGTGTTCAGTGTAACTTTTTCTCTTTCTGACCGTCTGGACGGCTCACAGTCCGGACTTTTTTAGGGTTACCGACTTCGGCATAATCCGTTAATGAATCAGAGACGAGGCGAGAATTCACGAAAACAGTAACCCGACAAAAGTCCGGACGATGGGCCGTCCGGACGGTCACAAATGGAAAAAGTTGCAGGCCCTAAGAAGGTTGGTTGGGGAGGAGCAGCAACTGGCTCGCGAACTAGGGAGGTGTCGAAATAGGAAGCCGAGGGTCGTTGAGTGATGTAGTGGTCGCGAGAGTTACCAGGGTGCTGTTCGCCAGCAAATCGAAGTTTTGAATGAAAAAGATGGCATCGGCATCTCGACCGCATCCGGAAACGGAGGCGGAACCCACCTCCGAGGTTAGGGCGTAATGCCACTCAAGAAACTTCTGTTCCCGAAAAGCGAGATTACGCAACCGCATCGGGAACCTCCATCCCCACCTTCCCCCCAAGGGCTTTGAACGGCAATGCCGTCACCATGCCATCGCTGTCCTCCCTGAAGGGGGGGATGGCGATGGCATATCAGGGAGGGAATTTTTGCCTGGGGGCGCAGTTGCGTCCCCGCTTCCAGATGCCATCACACAGTTCGAATTGGTTGTGAAGTGGGGGCGTTCGCCAGGACTCCTATTGGTTTTCGGTTCGGACGGAATATGAGGCTCGGCAGCAATTTTACGGGCTGACCCTGGCTGACGAAGATGAACGAACCCTAACTGACGGGATCAAGAAGGAGCGACTGACCTTCCTGATCCTGTCACTATCCCGTCAGTTTATCTATGAGTGGTGCTGGCGAACAGCCCCCAGATCTCAAATGCAACTCGTGAACCATTAAGGGTAAGTAGCTTTCGCAGGGGTGCTACTAGCGACCCTGCGCTTTCAAGGGGACTACAGTGCTAGTTGCGGGCACTTTCCGCCCCTCCGCCACTCCGACAGGAAAGTTATGGCGTGGGCCCAATCGGGTTTGATCGTCTCGATCAGCCGCGATCAATAGTTTCCAGGAAGCCTGGAGGCCAAATTCAGGCAATCAGAGGCAATCAGCTGATCGCGATCAGCTGATCGCCCAACCTCGATCAGACCCGATCTTAACCCCGATCAGAGTCGATTTTCCTCGATCACAGGCAATCAATTGATTGCTTGTGATCGGGGCACCCAGCGATGCCTGCGAGTAGTTACACTGTTGCACTACACTGAAACGAAGATTTTCGCCAGGTGAATTCTGGTCGTCAATCTCGCTAAAATGGTGACGAAAATGCCACGCAGATGTATCGCGCTTGCTGAGCAGGCGCTGACAACCTTCTCCGAAAATCATCTCTGATCGGGCGGCTCGGGCACTACGATCACAAGCAACCCGATCAGATCCAACCCACAGATCAGTCGCGATCAAACTCGATTGGGCCCACGCCATTATGGCAACAACACAGGACTCAGTCCCACATTCACCCACGTGTCACAAATTCGGAAAGTTAGAAAACGCACGGCAAAAAAAAAAAACCCATAGGGAACCTGGACCCATTTTCGGGAGGGATCAACCCTAAACAAGGGAACCCACATTTTTTTAAAGCTTTCGTATACATTTGAAAGTACTGTTTGTGGTGGAACAGTAGCCACCAAGATTTCGCCCCAACGAAAAGAAAGGGGCTTGGTGAGAGGGGTTGCGAAAATTTGGAGGATTGAGGGGTGGGAACACGAGAAACTCTCCCGTCACCCAACCCTTGAGCGACACTCACAAACACAAGTATAAGCAACTAATTACTAGGAAAGGCCTTGATAGAACTAGCAGCGCAACTACTCACCCTGACCTAATCGCCCGTGGTAAGGGGACACGGGGCTATACAAAAGCCTTTAGCTGCAGGGGCGGTTTGCATTCGGATGGGCCGTCGCGTAGCATTCGTCGAGCGATGCCATGCGGCACACGGGCGAGCGCCTCGACGAGTTGCATTATGCTGGCTCGCCGCGATGCAATCGTCGAACCAGCGATAAATTATTCAGTGAGCCGTCGCGTTCCACCCTGCGGGCTTCTCGCCTAGCGCCATCATGCATCGCGAAACCCGCTGATGGCGAAACCCGCTGATGGCGAAACCCGCTGATCGCGATACCCGCTCTTCGCCAAACACGATGCTCGCGAAATCTGTTTAGCGCGTCACCCGCTTCTCGCCTCACCCGCCGCATGCCTCACCTGCGAATCGGCAAAATACTTGCCTCACGCGCTGCTTGGCTCATAACCTTATTTCTTCATTTCCCCCCCTTCCGCCTCTCGTTTCCTCAATCTCGTTTCCCCCCCTTCTCCTCTCATTTCCCCCCCTTCCGCCTCTCATTTTCCCGGAGCTCCTCCCTCTCGTTTCCCCCCTTTCTCCCTCTCGTTCCCCCCCCCCTCCGCCTCTCATTTTCCCCCCTTCTGCCTCTCGTTTCCCCCCCTTCTCCATCTCGTTTCCACCCATCCTCCCTCTTGTTTCCCCCCTCCACCCTCTCGTTTCCCTCCCTTCTCCCTCTCGTTCCCCCCCCATCCGCCTCTCCTTTCCCCCCCTTCCGCCTCTCGTTTCCCCCCCTTCTCCCTCTCATTTCCCCCCCTCCTCCCTCTCGTTTCCCCCCCTTCCCCCTCTCGTTTCCCCTCCTTCTCCTCTCATTTCCCCAACTTCTCCCTCTCATTTCCCCCCTTCTCCCTCTCATTTCCCTCTTCCCCCTCTCATTTCCCCGCTTTCCCCCTCTCGTTTCCCCCCCTTCTCCCTCTCATTCCCCCCCCTCCTCCCTCTCGTTTCCCCCGCTCTTCCCTCTCGTTTCCCCCCTTTCTCCCTCTCGTTTTCCCCCCTTCCGCCTCTCATTTCCCCCCTTTCCCCCTCTCGTTTCCCCCCCTTATCAATCTCGTTTTCCCCCCTTCTCCCTCTCATTTCCCCCCCTCCTCCCTCTCGTAACTCCCCCTTCCCCCTCTCGTATCCCCCCTTCCCCCTCTCATTTCTCCCCCTCCTCCCTCTCGTTTCCCACCCTTCCCCCTCTCGTTTCCCCTCCTCCTCTCATTTCCCCAACTTCTCCCTCTCATTTCCCCCCTTCTCCCTCTCATTTCCCTCTCTTCCCCCTCTCATTTCCCCGCTTTCCCCCCTCTCGTTTCCCCCCCTTCTCCCCCTCATCTTCCCCCTTTCTTCCTCTCATTTCCCCCCCCTGCTCCCTCTCATTTCCCCCCCCTGCTCCCTCTCATTTCCCCCCTGCTCCCTCTCATTTCCCCCCCTGCTCCCTCTCATTTCCCCCCCTGCTCCCTCTCATTTCCCCCCCTGCTCCCTCTCATTTCCCCCCCTGCTCCCTCTCATTTCTCCCCCTGCTCACCCTCACTTCCCCCCTTTCTCCCTCTTCATTTCCCCCTCTCCTTCCCCTCATTTCGCCCTCTCCTTCTCCTCATTCACCCTTTCCTTACCCTCATCTCCCCATCTCGTTTCTCGCATTTCCCCTACTCCGTCCCCTTGTTTCCCCCTCTCCCCTCATTTCATCCTCTCGTTCCTCTTGTTTCCCACATTTCCCCTTATCCGCCCTCTCCTCTCCCTTTCTCCGTCCCCTCCTTTACCCCTCCTTCCCCTCATTTTCCCCTCTCCCTACCCTCATTCCCCCCTCTCCTTTCCCTCATTTCCCCCCTCCTTACCCTTCCCTGCCCCCACCCTGCCGGCAGGTGAGTGCGCTCATGCTGCTGGCGTGCGTGAGGGAGCTGCAGCGCCTTCACATGCTGCACAGTCCTTCCCCTTCTCCACCCTTTGCTTACCCTTCCTTACTTCCCCCCGTGCAACCCTTGCTCCCCCTTTGCTTCCCCTCCCTTCCCCTCCAGCTTACCCTCTGTTTCTTCTGCAGCTTGCCCTTGTCTATAATTTTGTTTGTTTGTTTGTTTTTTTTCAACAGCACGACACGAAGGACATCAGGCCTTCTCATTCTGAGTGCTGCTCTTTGCAGCTTAGTGAAACCAAATCAATAGGCAGGAAGTTCCAGCTTGTGTGTGCTGTTAGCGTATCAATCAAGTGAATTGATAGCATTGCATAGCATGTCATAATACATTGAAAATGTTGATGACTGTACCTAGACACAACTTCCCTTCTTTGCGTACAGCATCCTTGCATGATGCACATGGGCACAGCACAGCATTGTATGCGACATCTGACGTGTGTTGTACTCAACTCAAGATACATGGAGGGTTGTCCTCTGCTCTAGCTGGTCATAATTTGTTCAACACTTGTTGAAGAGAGCTGAAAAGAGAGAAAGGCAGCAGGAGAGGGGAAAAGAGGGAAAGGCAGGAGGATCGTGAAAAAGAGGGGAAGGGTAATGCAGGGAGGGGAAGGGTAATGCAGGGAGGGGAAGGGTAATGCAGGGAGGGGAAGGGTAATGCAGGGAGGGGAAGGGTAATGCAGCGAGGGGAAGGGTAATGCAGGGAGGGGAAGGGTAATGCAGGGAGGGGAAGGGTAATGCAGGGAGGGGAAGGGTAATGCAGCGAGGGGAAGGGTAATGCAGCGAGGGGAAGGGTAATGCAGGGTGGTGAAGGGTAATGCAGGGAGGGGAAGGGTACTGCAGGGAGGGGAAGGGTAATGCAGCGAGGGGAAGGGTAATGCAGCGAGGGGAAGGGTAATGCAGCGAGGGGAAGGGTAATGCAGGGAGGGGAAGGGTAATGCAGGGTGGGGAAGGGTAATGCAGGG